GGGAGGGGGCTGATGGTTCTCTGATCCTGTGTCTCAGGCAGAGGAAAGCAGCCTCTGGGGAAGCCACAGGAGACCCAAGGAAGGACGCAGGACTCAGTAACAAGGGTGGTATCTCCTTTGCACCCACTTCCCGTCCACATGTCCTGCCCCTGAACCCCAACCCTTGAAACCCCACCCCTCTCAGCTCATGTCACCTTTACAGCTGGTTTCCAAGCTGTCCACTGGGAGGCATGCTCTCGGCCCAGTGAGGACAGGAAACGGCGTCAGCGAGCACCCCATGACACTTCCCAGACCTTTGCACGCTTTCCCTCGCAGCAACCCCATTAGGTAGGTGTTGTCCTCTTTCCAGTTGGGAAAACCCCCCAAAGCCCAGAGATGCCGAGCTACTTGCCTAAAGCCACACAGCGAGTAAGTAGCTTAGCTGGGGTTTGGACCCAGGTCTCTAGGACTACAGAGTGCACGTGGTCTGCCATGTACAAGATGGAGTGTGCCAATCGATTGTGTGCCAAGCGCCAATAATCGATCTCGAAATGTCTGCACTCCTTCCCCCACGAGCAGGTGAGCCAGGAAGTGGAAAGACTTAGAAATCAGTGGGAAGGAGGAGCGCTTGCCCAGAGCCTGGCAGCGGGCTTGCCAAGTGCACGACTCGTCTGGGGCTTTGCCAAGCGGGGCTGGGCTGTCTGGGCTGCTCTCCGCCGCCCTGCCGCTCTCGCTCCCAGCACACCTGTGTGCTGACTGGCCGCGCTGGTTCCCTGTGGCGCGTCACCTCTGAGTCTGTCTCTGCATCTGTGAAATGAGGGCAATGGTGTGACCTCAAAGAGGGTTTGTGGGGACATCTGGGTTACTGTGGTCATTTAGATAAACCAAAGGCAGGTCCTGAAACTGATGTTCCAGCTCTCGGGTGCCTAGGGCCTAGAGCAAGCCACCCCACTGCTCAGATTCTCGCCTGGTCCCTCGCCTGCCCACTGGAGGAATTATGCTCAGCTTTCAGCCCAAGGCATGGGAGCCTCATTCAGCCAGCACTGCCTGCTGTGGGCCAGGACTGGGGCTACAGGGAACAGGGACAGCCAGGGCCCTTGGGCTCAGTGGGCAAGTCTCCGTGCCAACCCAGGACCAAGTCTGCATAAATCCACCCACCTTCCCATTCGACCACCGCTGCCAGTGCCCACCACCACCTTCCCCTCATGCACAGGGCAGCGGTCTCTGGCTGACCTCTGCCTTCTC